GCAGGCCGCAGCCTGTTCAGAGAACGCCAAGTGCGATCTCCCTTGAGCATGCTGTACGCGCACCGTACACATGCCAAGAATTCCACACGGCGATAGCCGAGTCGCACATCACGACTCAGTCTGACGCGCCGCGCGCGCGCCGCGCGCGCGCCGCGCGCGCGCGCGCGCGCGTCCGGTTATGCTCGCACATGTGCAGCAATGCGCAAACATGTACATGCAACTGGCTCCGTTTTGGCAGTTCATGCTTTCATGAATCCCGTGATGCTGCAATTCAGCATGCAAGTGAGCACAGTTCACAGTTTGCGCAACACAGCAAGGTTTCACCTTGCAACATGGGTCCATGCGTCCGCAAGCATGTCAGGACCTGAAACATTGTCTGCACTGGGGTGAGCAAAACTTCGGCTTAGCCTCCAGCCGCTCGTATCTCTCTGAGATCTCACGGCCACACCTGTTTCTGTCGCCTGCTTCATCGGCAACGATGTGGAGGAACCTAGTGCCCCTGTGTCTGAACAGCTCGGGGTCACTCTCCCTCGAAAGACTCTCCACAGTGGCATGCTCACTCCATGGATCAACGATCTCATCCACTGCAGCTTCAACGCACTTGCAGTCCTCCTCGTCATCTTCCTCGTCTTGCGAATCTTCGCTGTCAGATGGAACATCATCCTCAAGCGAATCACTCACAGAATTGCCCACTGGGCTCGCGGCTGATTGGCTGGCACTTGACGATGCCTGGTCCAGTCCCTGAGCAGGATTCACAAAGTATCCAGACCTTGTCATGTCGGGAAAGAAACGTCCTGATCGAATTGCACTGATGACTGCATCAAGCCTTCGAAGAGGTGCCGAAGCCGCATCCCTCGAATATATCAGCGCCACTTTGTCACCAGGCGCCGAATGATACCCCAAGAAACGTCTGATCTCGATTGGCTCACCATGCTTTGCACACCACGTCAAACAGGTCGTCTTAAGGCTGTGTGTGCCAATCTTAACGAGGGCAGCCCTGGCAATCCCAGCAGCAGCCAAAATATTTCGCAACCACTCGCCGCCTTCCGTTGCCTTCAAGGGTATTTTGCTCCACCCGCCCTGTGTTGGGATTGGCAAATTCGGCACTCCAACTCCTTTCGGCTTGCATCACACATGCCCTCTGCCAACCACTATACCAGTCATGCTGAGTCAATCCCCGCCTCGGCGCAACCATCGGCAGGAACATGGTTTTCCGCTCAGTGGTATATGCAGATTTGGTCCTGTTGACTGAGCACTCGATGTACCCCTCGACGATCCCGTCGATGTTGATTTCATCAGCCTTGAAATCTAGCATATTTTGCATGTCTGAAAACCGCGCCCTCATATAAACACATTGAAGAAAGCATCCAGCCGCAACCTGGTCAATTCCTCTGGCATCTGCACTACATACAAACGCCTCGAGGGCCTTCACCATCTCAGTAGTGAGGGGATCTCGCTGCGACAACTTCTTCTTGGTCAGGTATGCCTCTTTCGCACATCCCTGAATACGAGCACTCTTCATAGTGGCTTCGGCGCCAGTCAAACCAAGCAGAAAATGGCAAAAAGCAATTGCAACCACAAACGATCTCAAGAATGTTGGAGCGGCTTCCGTACAACCTGTCGACATGAAACTGTACACAACTGGCTCATCCAATGGAAAAGGTCTGTGTCCAAACTTGTTGCACCAAGCAACATACCTAAAAATTGGTCCAGCCCTGTTGTGTAACGTTCCTGTCGCACGTCCAGCAAATACATGTTTGAGGCCTCCACAGATCGATGCACCCATTGGGTCGCTTCGTCTCCAGACTCTTCCAAGCTCAAAGGAAGAAAGATGACAGCTGCAACTCGCTGACTGTTCAGCTGGTGCTCCCAAGTCAAATCCTTGATTGCACGCTTGACGTTAAAAACCACCAGCTGTGAGACATGCGTATCATCATCCAGATGTCCATCCTCAAGCTCTGGCCTCTGGATATGCAATACACCTGAAGGGGTAGCAGTTGGGGACACAAACTGTCTGTGGTCAAACTGCTTCGTCAGCTCCCAGACAGGTCTGTAAATTGTTCCCCAAGCACGCCTTCTGCAATGAAAAAGATGCGACTCAAAAGCATAATTGTCCATTGCGCCTGCTCTGCTATTCCCCACCTACTCGCGCGGCGGTCATTAGACCACCGGTCCCACCACACCCACCCACTCGAGCAAAAGTATAACAGGAGTGGAAAAACTCATCGTCATTTCAAACGCATGCAATGACAGCCAAGTGTTTGAGGTTCGACAGGCTCACGCTTAAGGTTTGTTAAAAGGGAACAGGGCGAAGCCCAGTTTACCGCTAATGCTGCTGCTGGATGATGCTGATGATGATGATGATGATGATACTTGGTGCGCCTTGTTGCTGGAACTGCTGCTCGAGATGGCAGTTGTGTTTGCTTTCGTTTTTGTGGCTGCTACACTCTCGACTCTTATTACTGATCTGGCGTGAAGGAAACCACCAAGCCTTAACCCACCAACCCAAACCACCAATTAGCAACATGACTGGCGGTTTAACGCAAAAGCGATAGTATTTTGTTCGTCCAATACGCTCGCTTCCTTAGATTGATTGGCGAAAAATACCGAACTTTGACCGCCAAGATCTCTGAAATTACAACATCCAACAATTGGGCGCTTTTGTGTTGCATGTGGATTCCCCCGAATAGGCGTGCGCTGTGTGGGGTCACTTGCGCCTGTCATTTTTCGGTCACTTGCGCCGGACATTAGGTAGGGCTTAGGTTTAGGGTCCGGGTCAGGTTGGGGCTTTAGGTTTACTCAGGTGCAGGGTTCAGGTTTCGGATGTTTAGGGTTCAGGCTTAGGGGTTAAAAACAAGACAGAGGCCACGAACCCGAACGCGCATCACTTTGCGCAAGCCCAAGAAAATAGTTAGAGAGAACATTTTTCGGTATAAGCCAATGGGGCTCGCAATCAAGCCTACTGCGCAAACTATGTTTTGAGCTTGTAAAACTGTACTTCGCGTGCTCCACTTGTTGCTACAAAGCTACGATTTTCAATCTGGAGCTGGACACCTGCGCTTCGCGCGCTAGACTTGTACGCGCTAGACTTGCGTCCGGCTAGAGCTGAAAACCTGCACTGCGCGTACTAGACTTGTACTACACAGTTGCGATTTTTGAGCTGGAGCTCAAAACCTGTACTTCGCGTACTATACTTGCACTTCAAAGTTGCGATCTTCCAGCCAGAGCTGGAAACTTGTACTTCACGTACTGTACTTGCAGTACAAAGTTGTGACTTTTTAGCTAGTGCTGGAAACCTGCACACTTCGCGCACTAGAGCTGGGCTGGAAACCTGTACTTCGCGTACTACAAAGTGGCGATTTTCCAGCTCTGTTCGACACCTCTGACCGACACTTCCGAGCAACACTTCTGATCGACACTTCCGAGCAACACTTCTGTCGACAGTTACGAACGATTCTTCTGAGCAGCACTTTTGATCGGCACTTCTGAACGACACTTCCAATCGGCACTTCTGAACGACACTTTTAATAGAGACTTGTGAGCGACACTTCTGAACAACACTTCTGTGCGCCGCGCCACAGCGAGAGCGATTCGACCAACCCAAAGTGCGCAGAGCGTTGGTTCACTTTGCGCGCTCAAAATGCGCACCGCGCCACAGTGAAAGCGAGTCGACCCACCCAAGCGCAGAGGGCTCACTTTGCGCGCTCAAACTGAAATGTGAGCGGCACTTGAACCACACTTCTGATTGACACTTCTGAGCAACACGTCTTATCCACACTTCGGATCTGAGCAACAGTTCTAGTTCTGAACAACGCTTCTGATCCACACTTCTGACAACATTTCTGAGGGACACGTCTGAGCAACACTTCTGATCGACACTTCCGGGCAACACTTCTGTCGACACTTCCGACCGATTCTTCTGAGCGACACTTGTGATCGACACTTCTGAACGACACTTCTGCCTCCAAACGCGCACCGCGCCACAGCGAGAGCGATTCGACCCACCCAAAGTGCGCAGAGGGTTGGTTCAATTTGCGCGCCGCGCCACAGCTAGAGCGATTCAACCCACGCAAAGTGCGCAGAGGGTCAAAATGCGCACCTGCCACAAAATCTACACCCAGGCGCCAAAGTACTGTGCCAGCCACGAAATTTGCACGAAAAGCTTCAAAGTACCGCGCCTGCCACGAAATTCAAACAAAACGCTCGAAAGTGCCTCGCCTGTCACGCAAAGTAAGCTTGCCACGAACTCAAAATCGTCCAAACTGCTGGGCCGAACACGAAATCCAACTTTGACATGTTTACGACACGCATCCAAAACTAGCACGGGACTGTAGCGCCGGAATGATTTCGACCAAATTTGACACGTTTCAGGCTCGCCAAAACGAGCCAATTGTACGACAGGGCCAACGAAAACGGCGCCGGTGCAAACACTATCGCGCGCTTGCCAAGCAGGACACCTCAAAGCGACCACCCCTGGATCGCAAATCCCACTGGCACGGCAACGAGAACACGCAGCCTTCCAAAACACTGCGCCTGCGCAGCAAAACGACACGTCGAGCTTGAGAAGCTACGATTCCCGGACAGGGCCAAAGAAAACAGCACTTGCCGATCCATCAAAAACACGCTTCCACGACGAATCCCAATGGCACACGCTTCTCGCCTCACCGCGAACGGTTGCGGACGGTTGCGAACGGTTGCGAACAGCTGCGAACTCTGGAGCAACTCCTCGCGAACACGGCCTCCACCCCCAGACCCCCACTTATAAACGGGAACCCTTCGCTACGCATTCGGGAAAAATGTATGTGACATGTCAATATAAGTCAAAATATATATTCTCCAACGAAACTATAAGATGTCAAATTTTAAAAAATTGCCGCAGGGAATTCGTCAGACAAAGCACGCCGGGGCGAGACCACCACAGGCACAAGCGACGAAAAACAGCAGTCACAAGCGAACTGCTCTCCAGGTTTCATCCGGTTTCGAGAAGCGGGATGGCGCACCTCGTCGCGCCACCCAAAAGCCAATCTTCGTTGGTGAAGAACACGTCTCCTCATGGAAGCAACAGGAAGCAGACCTGAAAATGAAAGTTTTACTTCTTGATAGCTGTTACCCTAAGTTATACAGGTCAGAGAACTTAAACACATATATAAAAGAAACGAATTGTGCTCATAATCATCTGCATTGGGTGCGGCCAATGTTCGGTGCTGAGCGTGCAGCTCTGCCGCCATCTTCCCCAAGATGTCATGGTCCCGCACCAGCGCCGCGTCAGCGTCCTCGATTCAACCAGCGAAGCCATCGGACCAGCCATGGAGCCACGCTGATCCCACATCAAAGCTGGTGGAGAAGCGGTGGTTTTACAAAAGTGAAGGGTTCCCTTTAAATTCAACCAGGGCATGAGCTTCTAGCTTGCAGTTGCAAAGGGAGAGAAGTATAGCTTTGTTCTGCTGCTTTTCCTTCAGCTAAGGCGCCTGTAGTGGAGTACGCGCGCTACAAAACAAGCACTGTAGGTCAATGACACGAATTCCACGATGCTCGTCAAGCTTGAAGCAAACAGCAGATGGTCCAGTGACACACTTAGCGCAAGAATCCCTCTTCACACTATTGCATTCCCGAAAGCATTGCGAAGGGTTCTTCCGGTAAAATCGCCAGCCTTATCAGACAGCTAAACTTGCACGCGCCAACTTGCACCAGCCTTATCGTACAGCCAAACTTACACGGGCCAACTTGCACGAGCCAACTTGCACGAGCCAACTTGCACAGCCAACTTACACGAGCCAACTTGCACGAGCCAACTTGCCCGAGCCAACTTGCATGAGTCAACTTGCACGAGCCAACTTACACGAGCCAACTTGCACGAGAACAACTTGCACGAGATATCACACAGCCAAACTTGCACGAGACATTTGGACACGAAAGTATTTAGTTAGTCTCTTAAGGCAGCGCAGCGGGACCGAACCCACCCTGCGAAAATGACACCCTCTGCCGGGATTGGCGCGGTCGATGTCCAAAAACTGTGGACTTTTTACGATTTCTGATTTGCCCGCACGACCCTCTGCAGGGATTGGCGTGGTCGATGTGCAAAAACTGAGGACTTTTTACAATTTCTGAGGTGCGCGCGCGATCCTCTGCGGGGATTGGCGTGGTCGATGTGCAAAAACTGCGGACTTTTTACGATTTCTGAGGCGCGCGCGTCTCTGCGGAGATTCGCGTGGTTGATGTGCAAAAACTGCGACTTTTTACGATTTCTGATTTGCGCGCGCGACTCTCTGCGGGGATTGGCGTGGTCGATGTGAAAAAACTGCGACTTTTTACGATTTCTGAATTGCGCGCGCGCGACCCTCTGCAGGGATTGGCGTGGTCGATGTGCAAAAACTGGGGACTTTTTGCGATTTCTGAGGCGCGCGCGCAACCCTCTGCGGGGATAGCGCTCTTGCTGTGGCCCCGCACGAATTCGTCTTAGTCTCGGCGAACCCTCTGCGGAGATCGTGCGTGTCGCCTGGCTGCGGCGCCGTGCGATTTTCGTGCTCGCGAAATGGCCTTTGGAAGTTGCCTCGTGGTTCGCGCGCCTGCTTTCGCAGTCCCGCGGTCGTGGGTTCGTCCCCCCCTGGTCCGTGGCAGCTCCGGCTCCGGCTCAAGAGCTTGCTCGGAGAACTTACTCACTCACTCGCTCGCTCGCTCACTTGCTCACGCGCTGACTCGCACTCACTGACTCGCACTCACTGACTCGCACTCACTCGCACTCACTCACACTCACTCACGCTCACTCACGCTCAATCACACTCGCTCACACTCACTCACGCTCGCTCTCTCTCTCTCTCTCTCTCACTCTCTCACTCTCGCTCCCTCTCTGTCGCTCGCTCCCACTCGCTCTCGCTGACACTCACTCACTCTCACTCACACTCACTCACTCTCACTCACTCTCACTCACTCTCACCCACTCTCACTCACTCTCATTCACTCTCACTGACTCGCTTGCACTCACTCTCTCACTCTCACTCATTCTCACTCTCTCCCACTCACTCTGATGGACACTTCTGAGCGACACTTCTGAGCAACACTACTGCTCGACACTTCTGAGCAACATTTCTGATCGACACTTCTAAGCGACACTTGCGCGCATCGACACTTCTGATCGACGCATCGGAGCGACACTTCTGGGAGACACTTCTGAGCAACATGTCTGACCGACACTTGTGATCAACACTTCTGATCGACACTTCTGACCGACCTTACCCCACTTAATAACGGGAACCCTTCGCTACAAGTTCGGGAAAACTCTGCAGCTGCCGTTTGCCCATGAAAAGGGACGCAGACACACATGCATGAAACCAACGCTCACTTTCCATTATGCTTTCGGGCCACCCGTGGTTCTAGTGTTTTTTGTTTAATGGAGATACTACGAACAACTCCACACACACACACACCTTTTTGAGGCCGGCGCCAGAATCATCACGTGGCTGAAATTCTGAGAGTTTTGGAGATACTCCTCCACCATTTTCATCTTCTCCCAGGTAAAGTTGTCGCGCTCGTACTTCTTCGCGCACTCCTCTCCGCATTGATCAACATCGCGGATTTGGGAGATACTCTCCCACAAAGTGAAGGATGCGATCAAAAATGCAACACCGGGACATCCTGTGAATCAGCCAAAGGTTTATTACTCCCGGATTCCCAGTAGTTGTTTGCTGTTCGGGACCCGCACTGGGTCTCCCCTATCCGCGGGAGTCCGGCTCACTTGCTGCTTGCAGGAACTTCGACACGGCAGGACTCCGATTAGAGGAGACTGCGGAGTGCCCCTGAGTTGGGAAGGCGTTCATTTCCATAGGGCTGTCGCGAAAAGATAGAGGTCGGTTTCCCTGAAAACACAACAGAAAACATGGTCCCTATAGATTGGACAATCACGGTTTCCCTTCAAACACAACCCAAACAGGACAACTTTGGAACATCCCCTTATCTGATATGCCTTGCCTATAGACAGAACCATGAAACCCCTGCGACACTGTCAAAACCTGTCTGCTTCAAACGAACTTCTCGCACCCAGGGCTGGGCCCCGGCTTTGGCTGATGGATGCGTCTGGAAATTTCGCAATATTCCCCAACAAACATGGACATGCGCACAACCATGGAAGATTCCGTGCGCAAGTGGCCTGGCATTTGAACGCCACAAAACGAGCGATCCGGAAGAACCCGCAATCACTGGTCCAAAATAAGCACAACCCCTCGAAGAGTGAGGAGACTGCCTTGCCTTGTAAATCGAATCCCTGTCGCGAATAGATAAGCAACAAACTGTGTTGAACGACTCAATGCTGCCACCAGCAGCGTGTGATCCATACTTGTTTTCGACTGCATCAACCCGCAGGTTTTGGGATTGTGCCTGCTGGCGTTGATGTGGGTCAGCAGCAGCGTCAAGCTGGTTAAGAAGGAAACGATGCAGATGCTCATCCTGAATGCAAGCCTCGATGTAGACATCGGTCTGTGCGCGTACTGCCCGTCACACACGGGTCAAATCAAGGACGGGACGAAAGCCCGTCCAAGGTCGTCAGGCAAAAGAACAAGAACGTTCATTTCGATGCTTCGTCGTCGTTCAATAAAAGGACACTGTCACATCTGTCTAAAAGACAGAAAGCTAGAAAGGGTGCACTTGGCACGAGACAATGAGCTCATGCACAGAAAGGAAATCAGAGTCATTAAGTCACCTGGACACGCAGGTCAGCAACAACAGGTATGTCGTCTGTTGCTGACACAATTTCGAGCGAGCGAGACAGTTCAACCCCGGCGGGGTATGCAGCCGCGTGGAACAAATGTTGGGGTATGTTTGGGTTTTTCGGTCCAAGGGCGGAATGCGCCATGCGTTCATGGTCCAGGGGGCGCGCCATCAAAATGCACGCATTGTCTCTGTGCTCTGCAGTCGACTGCCAAGACAGACGCACGTCTGTCAACTGATGTTTTTGACAGGGTGTGGTGTCATGATCCAAGGACATCTCAAGCATGCAGGCGCGGCTAACCGGCTTGACCCGAAAGGGGGGACACAACCCAAGATCTTCAAAAAGAAGCAGCCACCCAGTGAGAGATGTCAGAGTGCAGCGGAAAGCCAGGACATGGTCAACGTGGACGGACAAAGAACGCGGAAAGCAGGCGGCACAAGGTCTGGGCCATGGTGAGGCCTTTCACGACGCGGCATTGCAAACAGCATTATCACAATGAAAGACCACATGGACAGCCGAGTGCCCTGCAACCAGCAAAACATGGAGAAGCCAAAGAAGGGCCATCTGAGACAAGAGCTCCCAAGCCGCAATGAAAGACTGCGAAGAAAGGGCACAGAAGCCAAACCCAGCGGAGGCATGGTCGGCGCAGGCGTCGGCGAAAGCTTCAATATCCAGCGGGGCAAGAGGCGAACGTGAGAGTGCGCGCACAGGCGCAGACGCCAAGAGAGTTGACAGAGAGCAGAGGAGCAAACGCGAGGCCTGAGTGTCGACGGAGCACCAGAGATTCATCGAGCAGCGCCAAAAAACGAGCTCACTGCTCGCAAGACACAGCGGGCCTTCAAAAGGACCAGCCAATCCTGAGAGCCAGGAGAACGAGAATGTCATCCACGCAGATGAGAAGACTGTGGGCCATGTAAACCACGCGATGGCCCAAGACGCGAGAGCAAGCCAGCCAGCTGGCGCCAAAGTTGAGTGCACTGGTAAAGGACATCCGTGGTGAAGACCTTGGTCTTGCGATGCGGATGCGGTGGGCCTCAGACACGTCGAGAACCAGGGCCTGAAGGCGCTCTTGGGACAAGGAACCTGGCAAGCATGCGCGAAGCGAAGGTTGGCAAGATGGCTTCGGTGGAGATCAAGCTACCATCAGGCACTAAGCCAAGTTTGCCAATCGCCGAGAATGCGTGCGTGGCGGAGAGTGTGGAGCCCGCAACGCGCTGAGTGCAAGGCGCTGGTCCACAAGTGCGGGACGGTCGAGGGCAGACTTGCGATGCGGATGCGGTGGGCCTCAGACACGTCGAGAACCAGGGCCTGAAGGCGCTCTTGGGACAAGGAACCTGGCAAGCATGCGCGAAGCGAAGGTTGGCAAGATGGCTTCGGTGGAGATCAAGCTACCATCAGGCACTAAGCCAAGTTTGCCAATCGCCGAGAATGCGTGCGTGGCGGAGAGTGTGGAGCCCGCAACGCGCTGAGTGCAAGGCGCTGGTCCACAAGTGCGGGACGGTCGAGGGCAGACTTCCAGGCAGACTGTGTGGAACCCCATCCAACAGGAAATCGCCAACTTGAGAATCCGGTTTGGATTGGTCATCGGTGATGCGGAGGAATGCCCGAAGGTCTTCCAAATAAGGCTGAAGCGCGAGCAGATTGTCCGCATGGGGGGGGCGGGCAGACGTTTTTTTTTTGTCACACGCGCGCCTTGGGGCATTAAGCCATCGGTCACGAGAACGACTAAACAATCATCGAGAGTGAGACGGGTGAGACCGAGAGGGACAAAGTGCTGGTGAAATGAGCCAAACAAAGAAAAGAAAACCCGAAAAAAAAAAAAACAAAAAAAAAAAAAAAAAAATAAAAAAAAAAAAAACCAAAAAAAAAAAAAAACAAACAAAAAAAAAAAAAAAAAAAAAAAAAAAAAAAAAAATACAACAAAGAAAAGAAACCGAAGACACAGCGCGACAAACCGCCAAACAACACAACGAGGCACCAAACGCAAAACCATTCCCCAGCCGAGCAAAACGGAAAGAGACGAGCCAACGCGGCAGTTAAAAGTGATCGTGGAACATAGTTCCAAAAGACACTGACTACACCGAGGAGCTAGGCCTGTGAAGCATGAGCACGTTAAAAAGGAACATGCGCGCTCCAAACCGCAGGGGGCACATTTGCGCATCGTTTACCCCCACCCGTGGCCACACGGTCGGAGCAAAGAGCGCATTGTTCCAAAAGTTAGGCAAAGCAACACACGGAAGAAGAAGGCAAAAGGGGCCAAGCAAGGGCCAGCAAAAGGCGAGCATGCAATAATTACTTTGTGCACAGGCATCACCCGGAGCACAAAGGCAAAAAGAGGACGTGCAACGAATTACCCTCACACTAACATCGAGCGGAGTTGATATGGCCAGGCAGATGCGACGGGCGTCGCAGGCCTGGCCATCCAGCATTGCACACAAGACAAGGGGTGAGCGTGCAATGCACCATCAAGTTTGCTAGTCGCAGAGCGATAGCAATATTCAAGCGAGATTACCCAGTGGTGTGTTAGGGTTTAGGGTGCGCTGATCTGCATGCCTTACCAGATTGCGGCACGACCAGATTGGCCAAGTGCGGAGGCACAGAACAATGCACCAGGCAACAATGCGTGTGTGCAGTGCCGCTGGCACCAAGGACGGCAGGGAGAACCACGAGATTGGGCAGTGCCCAATACACTTGGAAACTCCCGCCTCATGCATCGCAAGGAAATGCCCCAAAGGGACGACAATATTCGTCATGAAAGGTGTCGCCTGGTAACCAAACAAACGAGCGGCCCAGAGGCCAAGCGACAACAGGGGGAGAGCCCAATAACTACTACGCTCATGAATGAAAAGGGGGCACCTCCCTCTGCATCCTGCTGCGAGATAGGTTACCGGAAGAAACGCATGCACACTCTGCCATGCAGAGCGAGCAATAGGCAGCGAGATTACCAAGTGGTGTGTTAGGGTTTGGGGTGCGCTTCAATGCATGTCTTACCAGGTTATGGCACTGCAGGTGGGCCAAGTGTAGTAGCACATAACCATTCACCAACAACAGTGCGAGCGTGCAGTGCCGCTGGCACCAAGAACGGTTGGGAGAACCACGAGATTGGGCAGTGCCCAATACACTTGGAAGCTCCCACCTCAGGCCACAAGGGAAATGCACCAAAGTGACGACAAAATTCGTCATGGAAGGTGTCGCCTGGCAACCAAACAAATGAGCGGCCAAAAGGCCAAGCGACAACGGGGGGAGGGCCCAATAACCGCCACGCTCATTAATGAAAAGGGGGGCACCTCCCTCTGCATCCTGCTGCGAGATAGGTTACCGGAAGAAACGCATGCACACTCTGCCATGCAGAGCGAGCAATAGGCAGCGAGATTACCAAGTGGCGGGCACTGCAGGTGGGCCAAGTGTAGTAGCACAGAACCATTCACCAACAACAGTGCGAGCGTGCAGTGCCGCTGGCACCAAGAACGGTTGGGAGAACCACGAGATTGGGCAGTGCCCAATACACTTGGAAGCTCCCACCTCAGGCCACAAGGGAAATGCACCAAAGTGACGACAAAATTCGTCATGGAAGGTGTCGCCTGGCAACCAAACAAATGAGCGGCCAAAAGGCCAAGCGACAACGGGGGGAGGGCCCAATAACCGCCACGCTCATTAATGAAAAGGGGGGCACCCCCGTCTACATCCTGCCGCGAGAAAGGTTGTCGGAAGAAACGCGTGCACACTCTGTCATGCAGAGCGAGCAATAGGCAGCGGGAGCACTGAGTAGGGTATTAGGATTTAGGGCACACACTTCTATGCATGTCCCACCGGACTGTGGCACCGCAGGGTGGGCCAAGTGTGGAAGTCCCAATTTACCAGGCAATAATGCGAGTGTGCAGTGCCGCTGGCACGAAGAACGACAGGGAGAACCACGATTGCCCAATACACTTGGAAGCTCCCGTCTCATGCAGCACAAGGAAATGTACCGTATTGGTGATGCAGGGGAGGATAGCATGGCGACCAAATCCGTGCGTCCCATTAATGGAGGCGCAACGTGCTGCGGACTGTGTTGGTGAGCGCATTGAAAGCACTAAGCGATGGCGCGTCCAAGAAATCGTCCACACTCCTGGAAGTTTTAGTTCCCTTGCTGCGGAGCTCCTGCAGTGTCATGCCCGAGGCCTGAACTTGAAAGGCATCAACCGACGGAAGTAGTATCTCCGCGGTATCGGCATCAAGCACGGGCGGGGTTGCAAGAACGGCAGACCTCCAACGGTGGGAAGAGACATGTGCCCTACGCGCAAAGTCCGCAAAGGACTGGCCTGCGGCTGGGAACGGGATCCACATATCCGTCCGGATGACACTCGGTTCGAGGGCCCCCACCAGGCCGCAGTAGTCTTGACAGTCAAAAGGGAGGGCCTGCCGACTTCTGAGCTGTTGCAGAAGAAGGTGGCGGTGGGGCTCCACGTCCTGGAAGATAGGCGGTGTGTAACCCGCTTTCAGTCCGCCTGCCATGACAAACCGCATGCCCCTGCAGGCCTGGATCGTACCTTTGAGCGCCACTCCGCCTCCACTGGCCGAGGCAGCGGTATCGGCATCACAAAGATACGCCATAGCTGCGACTGGGATATGAACTTTCAGCCTATGCAGAGGCCAATCGCCTGGGCCGGAACGTCCAAACCATTGTGCTACCTGTTCCCCCGTGGCGAGGGACTCAGTACCTGTCTCCAGCTCCGCAAGGGTGTCATGCATTTGCAGGAGCTGAGCGTGCTGCCTGGTAGCTATGGTGAGAGCCGCGTTCCAGAATTGCGGCTGGGCCAAGCGGTCTAGCATAAGCTGCCGGACACGAGGATGCGCATCCTCTCTGCCTAGCGGCTCGAAGACGGAGGCGAGAGCGGTGGCCAAACACAGGAGCCATGAGCGCAGGAAGCGCAGTTTTTCCTCACT